TTGCAAGTTCTGAAACCCAAACTAGAAGGCAGGGAACTTGAAGACTGGAGGCTGGAGAGGCAGATTTTAAGGATCTAATGCCTTCTGTAATGGACAGGAGATAAAAACCACTGAGTTGCTTAATTGGAAAGTGTCAGATCTGATGAAAAGACTTAGAAATCATCCACGCGTGCTAAGTAGGAAGCCGTGAGTGGGTGAGATTGCCCAGGGATACTAAGGTGCAGGAGACTGAATTTTTGGAGGGATTCTCGATCCCTTTGAGAATGTGATGAAAGCTCTGAACTGTCTCTCCAGAAAAATGCATGTTAAAGATCACACAAACATACACAATTTCTGGGGACTGTCCAATTAAGAATATTTGACAGAGAGGGGAAAGAGAAAAGGCATGAAGAAGAGGATTTGGATGACGATGAAGAGAACAGGAAAGAGACCAAAGAAAGATAACCCAAAAAATACAAGAAGAACCAGGAGAGTGAAGTGATGGGAAGCTGCGGGAGAACAGAGACATGTGGAAAGCATGGGCAACAGTGTCAAATGCTGTAGAGACTTGAACTAAGGTAAGAACTGAAACATGTCTTTTGCACTTACAGTTAAGAAATCGTTGGTAACCGTGAATAGTTTCTGAGGGGTGAAGGGTAATGGTAGTTCCAGATTTGTTTTAATCCAATAAGTGTTTAGGGGTGGCATCTGGGTAGAAGTGAGGGTAGGGGATTTGTCTTGAGAGTGTGTTTGCAGAGTACTAACATACGGTTGAAAAATTGTCAACTGTCTGTAGAAAGGGTTGAGGAGCTTGTTGTTCATCTGTCCCCTCGTGCCCTCATTAGGATGGAGTCAAAAGCCAGAGAGCAATGGTTGAAGGAATGATGTGAGTTGAGGAAGTGGAGAAATTTGGTTCATTGGTAAGAGAGAGATAAAGGGCAGTTAAAATGAGAAACAAAAACAAGGAAGGGATTTTGTTTCTAAGAATGAACACATCCTGATATTTTTACGCTGTGAATGCAGCGAGTGGCTCTTCCTAAGACCTGCTTTCTATAACAATCTAATAAATCACTTCTGGAACACTGAAATTCACCACTTGGTCCTTTTATTAATAATACCAAAGTGAGCTATTAGGAAATTCTTGAGAAAAACAGCTGAATGACATTACCAAAAAAGATCTGAACCCAATTCAGATATTTGAAAAGTTTTTCAGTAACTTAAACTTAAGCTACTTAATTCCCCCCCCATATCATTCTGACGTACAGCAAAACTTTTGAAACAAAATTTTTCTTTAGAGGCACCAAGAACCACGATCCTATAACCACGACAATAGGGCCCTAACTAGCATTTTTGATAGAGAGAAATTAGCTTCATTTTAATCTTTATTCAGAAATTTTACAAAGTCGTGTGGGGTTCATTTAAACACAGGATGTGGGTGCAGAACCTAGGATCACTCAGGGATTAGCTGCGGCTCAGGTGGGTCTTAAGTTTTTGCCTACCAGCTGTACCCATGTTCTTGCCTTTGTTGTTGTCTTGTTTTCTTTTCACTCCTGAGCTTTTGAACGAGTTTGCCATTACAGTAGCCGAGAAGATATAAGATTGTCTGTGTAACTCATACAAAAGTGTTTTAGCCTTAAAGATCTGGCTTCTAAATTCACAGGGGCCCCTGATCATCAGTTAGAACTGGGTGGCAGACCTAACTCATGGAACCCAGTGAAGGGCGAGCATCCCCAGGTGCACTGCCCAAGTGCTGAGATCTTGGTTGCTAGCAAATCTCAGGATCCGCCCAGGGCTTTCCTATCCTATTGTGATGGAGCAAAACCTAGGGACTGAAGGCAACATAACTTCATAAAGCTCCTAGGAAGGGTGTGGAAAACAGGGGTCTTTTTTAAAAAAAAAAATCTGCTCCCAAATATCAATCCCCATAAACTGTACCCACAACCTCGGGGGGTTAAAATGCAGTTTATTTCTCTTACCCTCTCAAGAGTTTTTATCGTCAGATTATATTCTAATATTTCTATCAAGACGCAGCAGCTGGGGGATGCTGGCCCTTTAAGGGGGTAGAAGGGGAGGGGCTGGGACTCTTAAAGCCAGGGGCAACAAACTAGCCCTGGTCTAGGCTGCCATGGCTAAACTGAGCAGAAAGGACTGCAACAGTCAGGCGGTGGGTGTCCAAGGCAGCTGGTGTTGAGGGGCGGTGTGTATCTGTGTGGAAGTGCTTCTCCAACTCCAAGCTCTGTCCCTCATTTCTGTCCCTTGGCAGGACAACTCCCTGCAACTGGGCTGGTGAGGGCAGAGGATGGGGCATAGGGCAGTCTGAGAGCCCAGGGTCCTGCTCCTCGAGTCGCTGGGCCACTACTCCTCTGGCTACCTTGCTAGGGGGAGATCATGGCTTTTTAGGGTGCCATGCCATGCCATCCTTACTGAAGAGGAGGGTGTCTCTGGGTTTCTTCCCTGTCTCAGGTTTACCTTCCAGAGGCTGACAGTGTTTTCTTACCGGAGGAAACAGACATGGTGGAGGCCTACCAGCCTGCAAAGATGAAAGGTCTTGAAGGTATTGTTCAGTAGGCTGTAGAATCTGGATGAAAAGCCTTGGGGTGCAGAGACTTACATGGTTCAGTAGACAGATGTGGGCCCAGGTGTCCAGAACTACTGGGAGTGACTTCCAAACTCTTCAACTTGCTAGCTACATCACACTGGTGACTGAGGTTCCTTTTCTGGGCCCTATTTTCCTCCCTTGATGGGGAAAGGATCACTACCAGCCTTGCAGGACTGCTCAGAGAGTTAAGTGGACACATTCATGTGACGTATCTGGCGCACAGTAGGCTTCAATTGCAGTGAGTCCTGGCACCTGGGACTTGATTGATTAAGGAGGCACTGACAGGGCTGTTAGGTGGGGGAGAGCAGGTAGAGAAGCCCAGGGTGGTACCTAATGAGGACATTGAAGAGATGTGGAAGGCAAAGGTGTTTGGCCCCCCACCAGGTTTCGTTTGCTCTAGTCGGGGGGTGGGGGTTACGGGTAGCAAGGGGTGGGAACCGTTTGAAGGTGGTGTGGAGATGACTTATGAACAGAAGCGTTACTGAGAAGTAGCCTCTCTAGACGAGACTCCTCACACCTGAGTCCCCATCTACTCCATCCTTAGGCCCCTACTTAAACCAAGACCCAAGCAAGTCCTGTAGCTCCTTGGCTCCTGAGGAGGAGCTGGTGCCTGTCTCCCAGTTGGAGGAGGAGGAGGAGCAAGAGGAGGAGGATCTGGATCCAGATCTAGCCCCAGAGCCGGAGGAGGAGGAGGAGGAGGAGGAAGAGGTGGAGGAGGAAGAGCATGATCTCGGGGATCCAGCTGTCCTCAGTGCTATCCATAACACCCAGGTAACTAGGGCAGGAGGGAGTGGGGGGGACAGTTGGCCGGAACACTCCGCAGCTCGAAGACGGTTGCTAGATATCCTTCTCTTCTCCACCCCTTTCTAGTCCGTTGCCTTAACCATTGGGCCATGACTACACGTTCTCCACACCTGTCTCAAATAGGTTCTGGGTTAACACTTTCTATTTCAGGCTTGAACCTGAGTAGGGACTCTTTCCTTCCTTGCCTCTTTCTTCCTATCCCTCTTAGTTTCTGATGCTGTCTTCACCTTAAAAACCAGGTCCTAGCAGGGTTGTGCATAGCTCATAGGTGCTGGTTGAACTCCTGGTACTGAAGGTGAGTCATCCTTGGCCCTGCGCCCCTGTGTCTCAGCAGTTCATTCATGGTATTTATTCCCTTGGATTTCCACAATCCGTGGAGAGAAACAAGGATTCCTATATAGAAATGAAATCCTGGGGCGCCTGGGTGGCTCAGTTGGTAAGCGTCTGTCTTGGGCTCAGATCTTGATCCCAGGATCCTGGGATTGAGCCCCATGTCTGTCACTTCTCCCTCTCCCTCAGCCTGCTGCTCCCCCTGCTTGTGCTCTCTCTCTGTCAAACAAACAACCTTAAAAAAAGAAATGAAATCAGAGTCTCCCCCAACCTATTCCTGAGATACCAGTCTTGCTTCCCCTCAGAGGAAGCAGGGAGGTCCTGACCCAGTTGATTTTTGATTACAAGGGAAGGCCAAGCTACCACTGACTTGAATATTTGAAGTGGTTGGCCTTCCTGCACTCCACACCCAATGGACACTGATGACTGATGAAGACACCTCAGGAGCTCATTCAAGCCTGTTGTCCTCCCTCCCATTCCAGAGAGGCCTTCTCAACTCCTCTGGAATCAAAGCCTCTGGTGTGCTGGGGATGTCCCCTGCTTCCTTGCACTTTCTGTGGCAGGTGAGTCACTTCAATCTCCATCTTGTGAGAAAGTAATGGTGTGTGGAGAAGGAGCATGTGGAGTGTCCCTTTGTCTGCTCTTGACCTTGCTCTGGTGATGAAGCACCCCAAGTGAGGTGTAGGTATGGGAGGTGGGAGACACCTATAATGTAGTGACGCTTGGTAAATGACCAAGGTGGTTCTGGGACAACTGGCTGTCCATATGAAAAGGACAAACCAGAGCCCTACTTCCACCTCCCTACATTTCAGCAGATGAGCAGCATGGAGCTTAGGGCTAGAAAGAGCAGCTGCCCTTAAGTTAACTGTGTCATGAGAACAGGAATTGCAGGAAATCCTGCAGGGAGAATGAGAAGACCATTGCAGCTCTGAGGAGGGCTTCAGAGGAGTCCACAAAGAGGCAGACAAGCATTGCCGCAGTGGCTGAAGGCACAAGAGCCTGACAAAAAAGACTATCACAGAGAGGAGAGAGAGCGAGAGAGAGAAACAGGTGTTGACTTACCAGACCAGAAAGGCACATGCCCCCACATGTCAGGGACTGAAGAGCTGTCCCCGAGGAGGTGACAAACCCTGTTGGGTGAGGTTCTTATGGGAGGAAAGGCAGGTGAGAATATAAAGGTGGGAGGAGGCCCTTGTGGCAACGGAGCCACATTCTGTTGGTGGAGCTGCCCTTTTCCCAGACCTCTGAATTCCATTCTCAGACGCTGGACTACCTCTCTCCAGTTCCTTTCCGGACTACCTTTCCCAGTGCCAGCTCTCCAGCACGGCACTTTGGACCTCGACTTCTCTCGCCAGACCCAACTCTCTTCAGCCTGCCAACCTCCTGGCCCCCTAGTTTCAGGTACTGGCTTGGGGCGCCAGGCCCCCCAGCATCTCCCCCAGACTGAGCTCTTCTCTGGAGGTTTCAGGACATAGTGGCTGAGGAGGGATGGGGGCCGCCTACCGGGTGCCACAGAAAAACACCTATAGAAACCTAGTCAGAAGTGTGCAGTGGAGCCCAGTCCCTTCTCCCCCATAGAGGAGGAAGTGGAGGCCCAGGGGGACTAAAAAGAACTTACTTGAGGTTAGCTGGCATGGCAGAACTGAGATTAGGACTCAGAACTCCCAACAACCAGGCCAAATGGGTCTCTACTGTGTCAAGATTTCTTGCAGCCAAATTGCAGGACAATATATCCCAGAGGGGAATGTGAGCCCTGCTGAGCCGGGGTTGTACTGTTTCCTGTGGCTGACTTTGGGGAGGCACACGGAGAGGGTAGGGTTGCCTTAGATGCCCAGCTGAGCTTACTAGAGGCTAACTGGATAGAAGAGTAGGGAGCTGAGTGCTTTCTTTGACCCAGCCCAAGTTTCTTTCTAAGTCTTCCTAGTCATCTGACCCAGCTCCACCCTCAGCACCAACGGATCTTGCAGCTGCAGCAACACAGTCGAACACCAAGGTAAAGCCTAGATGAGCAGCAGGGTTGAGGGCAGCTCACTTGCATGCTGGGTATCCCCATGTGATTGGGTGTCTCCCCAAAGCCCCTGCACAAATACGACTCTCCCCGTGTTGCCCACCTCTGTACTCTGTTCCATCCCTCCTTGCTCACCACTCCTTGGGAAGCTCACTGTGCAGGGGTGGGTAGGTCTCAAGGAATGTACCCTTCTGGCTTGAAGTCCCCCAGCCAAGAAGCCTTGGTCTCAGCAGCCAGACCCCTATGTTAACCTCATGACCCGAAAAGAGAAAGACTGGGTGATAAAAGTACAGATGGTTCAGCTGCAGAGTGAGAACCCCCACCTGGATGACTACTACTATCAGGTGAGCCCCAGGTGCTTTTCTGACCTTAGCATCAAATGGGCCTGGACTCCATGGGCCCTCTTGGATCATCTCTCCAGCTCTTAGGGGCCATGTCCAGTCAGGTGGAAGGGGCAATCACTACAGGATAGGGGCCATATTTCTAAAATTGACATCCCAAGATCCTTCCCCTCTAATCTCCTACACTTCAGACAAACGGGATTATTTCCAATTCCCTCAAACACTGAGGTTTTGTCTTCATTCTTTGCCAAGAATTTCCCTTACTCAGCCTTGAAATATGGACTTTTCCACTTTTGTATACTTCTGTGGGTCTTAGAAATGTTGTGTTATAAATATTCATCTACTTTTTGCTTTTTTTTAGACACGAATTTTATAAATGGTGGGATTCAACTTGTTAAATTGAATAAATGCCGGCAGAGGTCTTAACTCCTTACCCTCTTCTCCCTGTCTTTTATTTGTGAGGCAAGCTTTGCTTACGGGTTTTGGGGTTGTCTAAGCTGTGTTCCACTTTGTTTTCAACCTCCGTGAGCCCCCTACCAAGGTTCCTACCTTTATCTCCTTCCTACTTAGACTAATTTCTTCCTCTCTTTCCACCATGCTTCAAAAACTCTTTCTCCCCAGATGACTGAAATATTTTTACACTCTTGACTTTTTGGCACTGCTCCTAAATGAAGGAGCTTTATTTAAATCCTGTTTGACTTGGTCAGTAGTTTTATTTTAGCTTGGGATTTTACAGATTTCTTTAAGAAGACCTTAGAGCTGCTGAGCCATTCTTCAGAAGCCTAAAACTGGCCTAGAGTGCTATTAGCTACTGGCCAATTGACAATAGTAGTATCTCTGTACTGCAAGCTGCTGATGGTCTTCATGCCATCAGATAACTCTGATTTTTGAAAAGCACGGGTAGGATCACAAAACTAAAAGGGGGAGCGGGGAGGAAAGGTGTGCAGTGTGTATCCAACGAGGAAGGAATTCAAGAAGGTTGCAGATGCTGACATGGGTTTGCTTCCTGGCTCTCCACTTGGGCTCTCTGCCTTTTCATCAGATCTGGTGGTGGTGTCTAGCTCTTCAAGTACTCAGTATGGAGACCCCCCCCAAGCCAGATGTCATGAGGCCCAGGATACTCAAGATGCTTCAGAGTGGTTGGCAGAAGGGCCGAAGGGGCCAGGATCCTTTCTGGAATGAATGCTGTAGGAAAGGGTATATTAAGAAGTTGCACTTAAGAACTTTAATTCTAAGTTCAGAAGATGAGGATACATTTTTCTATCCCATGGACTCTCAGGAATATTATCAGAAACTAGAGAAGAAGCAGACAGATGAAGAGCTACTTGGGCGAAGGAGCAAGGTTGAATCTCTCAAGCTGGTAACGCCTTACATTCAGAAGGCAGAGGCTTACGAGTCAGGTAGGACCAGGGCTGACCTCCTGGGTTGGGATGGACATCTGGATGGACAGAGTGTGGAAAGAGGTGGGGAATATGCTTGTCCTGATTCCTTTTTGTGCAGTGGTTCGAATCGAGGGTTCCCTGGGCCAGGTAGCTGTATCAACGTGTTTTAGCCCTCGCCGAGCTATTGATGCTGTGCCCCATGGATCCCAAGAGCAGGTAGAAATGCTATCTTCCCACAACCTTTTTTTAAAGATTTGATCTATTTATTTGTTGGGGAGAGAGAGCACAAGCAGGGTGAGCAGCAAGGAGAGGCAGAAGCAGGCTCCCTGGTGAGCAAGGAGTCCGATGCGGGACTCGATCCCAGGACCCTGGGATTATGATGCGAGCTGAAGGCAGACACTTAACTGACTGAGCCACCCAGGTGTCCCTCCCACAACCCTTTTTATTTCCCCTGTTTTGGAGAAAGGACAGGGGCACTCTCTTGCTTGAGATCAGATTGTGACTTAAGAGTGAGAAAGAAGTGTGGTCAGACTTTGTGTTAGCATTTCCAGCTCCATTTCTAGCTCACCTGAGGCCTGGTGCTATTGCTATGAAGGTGTGGTTGACAGCCTGGGACTCTCTCCTAGGAGCTAGGAGCTGCAAGCAGTCAGAGGCTTCAGGTATTGTCCCGGATTGAGAAGGTGAGATATCAACTCCTTAAGGATGAGTTCCTAATTTACCCTTGGAAATGGAATATTGCTCAGATTGAACTCTTCTTTTCCCACCTTCGAATTCCCAGATGTTTCTTCAGTTACTAGAGATAGAGGAGGCTCAGAAGGATGGGCCACCACAGCCCTGCTACTCTGAACAGCAGAGCAACCAGGTTGAGAAGCTTTTCCAGGCCTTAAAGACCCAGGAGCAGAATAATCTGGAGTGAGTGTGGGAGGGTCACACCTCCAGCCCAGGAAGGGAATGATGAGCAAACACATGAGCTTTCCTTCTGCCCCTCCTTTCTGGCATGTAGCCAGAGCCCTCTATGCAGAGCCCTGAAAATGTTCTCCTTTTTCACATGTAGGGAGGCAGCAGATGGTTTCCTGCAGGTGCTCTCCGTGAGGAAGGGGAAAGCTCTAGTGGCAAGGCTGCTCCCTTTCCTGCCCCAGGATCGAGCTGTTAGCCTTCTTCTGGCTATCACCCACCATTTGCCCCTCCTAGTCAGGAGGGATGTAGCTGATCAGGTACTGTGGCATTGAGGAGAGAAGAGGATGGTGTTGTGGATGGGTTAGGGACCTCTCCTCTCCATTCTCTGTCCCCCCACCCCCAGAGATGCCCAAGAAAGTGTTGGGCAGGGAGAGGTGCCAAACCTGACACCCTCGGGTGAGGACGTTACAGAACCAACTACTATAGTAACAACTGATCATCTTGAGGTACAATGACCAAAAAACACAGGCATGTGGTTGCACAGGTGTGAGTGGCCTGTGGAGGTTTGAGAAGATGAAGACTCCTTGAGAAGTATTGAGCCCCATATCTACCCTTCTTAGGGAAGGCCTCCGAGTAAGTGGGTATTGAGGGACTAGTATTAAGGTTGGAGAGACCTGAATGGTGATAGGCTTAGTTAAGTAACCCGACCAGGAAAGTACCAAAAACAGGTCATCAAGAAAAGGGGGTAGAGGCAAAGTAGGAGGTGAAGTTGTAGTGGAGTCTGAGAGAGGCACTTACCTTCTTGCAGGCTCTACAAATGTTGTTCAAGCCTCTGGGCAAATGTATCCATCACTTGACCTTCCATGAACTCCTCCAAGGACTTCAGGGACTCATGCTGTTTCCACCTGGCTCCTCAGAGCGGCCCGTCACTCTGGTGCTTCAGAACCAGGTAGCATAGTGGGGAGGCTTTTCTCTTTCCACAGATGGCCTCCAGTTGGTATCCCTGGCAAGGAATAACCAAAGGAATGTTACCTCTCCATCTTCTCTGTAGTGCTTCTCCATGTCTAGTGAGCACTAGAATCACCTGGAGAGTTCCTCGGTCACACTCCAAGAGAGTCTCATTTAGTAGACCTGGGGTGTGGCCCATGCATTTGCTTTTCTAAAAGGCTCCCTGAGGATGGTGCTGATGGGGACCTCTCAAGCAGAGGTCACCAAACTTTTCTGATGGTGTATCCTTCTTAGTAAAAAGTTCTGAACCCTATCACCCATGTGCTTGTCTAGAAGTTCTATACATATAACACTACACTTAAGTACATAATAAACACAAGATAGAAAATTTTAAATGCAGAGACTCTAGACGTGAAAGTTCTGATATCTTTTAATACCCCAATGGATTATTTTGTGAACCCCTCTCTGAAGATCTTTGCTTAAAGCAATGCTGCTTTCAGTGGGGTCCACAAACTACTTGCATCAGATTCCTGAGTCTATTCCTCATCTATAGGCGGACTCCTGAGAGTAAGACCCACAAGTGTGCATTTAATCAACTCTCCACAAGGATCTTTTGGAAAGTTCAGAGCAGTGATTTCCTTTGAAAGGTCTGAGCGTTCTTTCGCCAGGCATTGTAAAATCTGACAGTTTGACCAGTGTTGAATTCCAGTTTTACATGGGAACCTGCCCTCTTAGTTGGGGAAAATAGCAGAGCCAGGAAAGCACTGAATGCCTCTGGTGAACTTTTACCTTGCATACTGTCTCACTTGCAGTTTGGAATATCTTTGCTCTATGCCCTACTGAGTCATGGGGAGCAGCTGGTATCTCTGGAGTCTTCCCTTGAGGAGCCCAGTAGTGATCATACAGCATGGTAAGATCTTAAAGGCCTTGTAAATATACTATTTCAGTGCCCCTGGGATGTAGAGACTGAGCCAGGTGAAATATTACCTGAGTAGTATATTCAAGTATTGGTAAGGAAGTTGGACAGAGAAGAGAAAAATATCAGAGTTACAACTGTTCTCCCTTTTCATTTTTTTTCCTTTTTCTATAGTGCCCTATAGAGTGCTGGTTTCCCATGGAAGGCAGTAAAACAATGATTAAGGGGACAAGATTTAGAGTCAAACAGACCTAAGTTGGAATTCTGCCTTTGTCACTTATAAGCACTGCAACTTTCAGACATGTTACTTCCCTTCTTTAAGCCTGTTACTTCATTTATAACCTAGGGATAATGATAATAACCAGAGTTCTTAAGGAGGATATGTAAAACACTAAGCATTGCCTGGCACATACAAAATATGCAAACGTTCTCTTAACTGTTACAAGCACAGAAGGTGATAGTGGTGGTGGGAAAATAGGAACCTTGGCCTTGAGTCTATTTCCTGCATAGATACAAAGACTCTGATGTTTTTCTGTCTTCTCTGCCCTCCAGGACCAACATGGTGGTTCTGATTGCCTGGGAGATAGCCCAAATGCCAACAGCCTCTCTGGCAGAACCCCTAGCCTTCCCCAGCAACCTTCTTCCTCTGTTCTGTCACCATGTGGACAAACCATTGGTACAGCACCTAGAGGCTAGGATGGAGTAAGCGATGGCAGAAAAGAGGTCATAGCCCCTTGTTCAAGCCCTATCTAGGTTCTGTCATTTAGTTCTTTTAACCCAAGAGTATGGAGGATAACTTGTATTTAGAAGTAGTTCTAGACACACTAGCATTTACCCAGTAACCAGTCTGCCCGGGTTAGGATCCTGAAGCCTATTTCTTCAGCCAAACCTTTTAATTTATTCCCAGATGCTTTGCTCATTTATCATGCCAAGCTACTTCAGGGCAAGCATTCATAAGAAGCTGAATTGTTAATTGTTAATTCAAGAAATATTTGAGGGACAACTAATCTAAGACAAAAGCATGAGCAACAGGAAGGTCACTTCTGTCCTCAGAATTTACCAGCTGCTGGAAAGGGTCAGATAGTAATCAAGTCACACAAATACTTTAGAAAATAGACTTGTTTGCAGTTAAAAATCTGTTCTTTGTAGGCTTGCTTGGGTCTACTGATCCAGTTCTGAAATATGTATATGTGGGAAAAGTTTAATCATCAGACACTAGCTGTATGGGCTAGGTCTACAGGGATCTAGAGAGTCTGAGGACACTTCTTATGCCTTGATATATTGGAAGATTTCACCCAAAACATTTTCTTATGTTCTCCTTAAAACCTGAAGATATGCCTAAAAGAGCATGACATAATAAGGTATAATTAAAGAGATAATAAAATGATGTGTTGAAACTTGTCATAAGTTAGGTATAATGAAAGTCATTTTCTTATGTGTGAATGCCCCAAAAATGCCTTAATAAAAGGGACAAGGCCTTGTTATGTCTAACAAAAGTATGACTTTGGAAATTTCTTCACTGCTGATCTTTTTTTATAAAGAGAGTAGCTAAGCTAATAGGGTTGGCTGTAAATATCCCCCTTGGGATATGAAATGTTTGGTTTAAGTTGACAAACAAGGTCATGTATTCATCAATCCCTGGAGTCCCTTTTAGGAACCTGGCACCGTTTTAGGTGGTAGGGTAACAGTGAGCAGTGAAAACTCCCTGTTCTTCTGAAGCTTACATTCTGGCTAGACAGAGACTGATGGAAAAGATCAAGTGGTGATAAATATCCTGGTGGAAACAAAACTGGGGGGGAAGTGACTGGAGTGTAATGGTCCAGGAAGGCCTGTCAATAGCAGTTACAATTAAGCTGAAAGTACTCCCTGTAGAGGCACTAGTGAGCACAAAGGTGCCACATGAGAATGAACTTAATATATTTCAGGAACAGAAAGAAGGCAAGTGTGGCTGAAGTACACAGATAAGGTGGAAGGGTATTGAGGTTGGAGAGAGGTAAATTGGGTTTAGTTCTATAAGCCATGATTTAAAAATCAGGATTCTAACTAATGGGAAGTCAGAATTTTAAACGGGGATGTAATGTGATTTCATTTTTAGAAGATCATTCTGACTGCTGCTTGTTAGAGGAACAAGGGAGAAAAGCAGAGAAAAATGTTCAAAGGTTTATTCCATCAGCTCAGGCAAGAATTGAGAAGCAGGGGTGAGGGAAAGCAGAGTAATTTAGAATAAGTCCTGGAAGTAAGAGTTGACAGTCACCATCTTTATCCAGCCCATCGGCAATGTCTAAGGGGGCTGGGGGCGGGGGTGAGTAAAAATGGGCTGCGGGGCGTTAAAAAAAAGAAGTAAAAATTTTCTAAAGGGGAAGTAAAATTTGACGGTAGTGGTTGGTGTAGGTTGAGGGAGAATTTCTTTTGAGCGTGACATTACAGCATGTTCACATGATAAAGCACCCCAGTAAAGGGAGAGAAAAGAAAAGCAGGAGAAAAAATTTTACAAAGTCTCATAACAAGAGGATGTGAATCAAAGCACAAGTGGAGGGGTTGGCCTGTTGGTCACCTGTGTGACCCCAGCTGATTGTGGAAAAGAATGTGTTAAGAAAGATACTGATGTTTATTAGGAGAACTGCCTAAATTCCTCCTCCACTCCTCTTCTTTCCCCACCCCCTCTGCTCCTCTCCAGCTCTGCTTAAGACCTTGGATCATAATTCCTTGAGAAGCCTAGTAATGAAACGGGAACTCTACCCATACCACCCCTTAACTACCCTGTTTCCCTGCCCTTTACAAGGGATATTATTTGACTTCAACATTCAGGTCAACCTTGTATGATGGATCGGTCCACACTACCAAAGACATGGTACCATGTGGACCTGTAAACGAAAATAACAGCACACTAGGAAAAGCAAAAAGAGAGAGGCAGGAACCGGTTCCAATAGAGCGGAAGCATTTAGACTAAGAAAGCAGAGGGTAATGCTAGGGAGTGAGTAAAACTGCTACACCGTGCCTGAGGCCGCTAAATTTGGCCCTTAACTCTTTCAAAGTAGTTAAGTAAAAAGGCTTGAAGCAAAGGCAGATGTAGCTTTGCTGGAGCAACTGACACCAGCATCCACAGACCAGGAACGCAATCGGGCGAGACAGCTCAGCTGTCCCGGGGAGAGTCACGAGGCGGCGACAGGGTGGGCTCCACCGCGCATGCCCACAGCGCAGCTGCGCTCAGGTGACCGGAAGAAATGGCCGAATCAAAATGGCTGCAGAAAAGGCCGCGGGAGGAGCTGCTGGCCGCGGCACCCGCAGCGCTAAAGACATGGAGCGGGTTCTACCTATGCTGTTGGTGCCGGTCCCTGTGGAGGCAACGGGGCGGCTGGGATCCCGGGCGCAGTTGCACAGAGAGCAGGAGGTTGTGGGGAGCCTAACAGCTGCAGGCAGCCTGCAAGTGCTTTCCTTGGCGCCAGGCGGCCGGAGCGGGGGTACCTGCTGCCTCACTGGCCCCTTTCGGCAGTAAGTGCTGCGGGAGGGCTGGGCAGTGTCAGAGGAGTCCCGAGCCTTAGCTCGGCTGGCCCCAATGCTCTCCTTCAGGCGTGGAGGTGGCGGGAGAGGAATGACAGCCGCGGGAAACACCTCAGAGACGATCCGGGTGCCCTCTCGGAACCTTTTCCTCGCTTTGCAGCCCCACCCTCTCTTCCCCGTTCCCGGGGCGCGGAAAAGGCCTCCAACTCCTCTGCGGGCCACAGCGAACCCGGAGCAGGTCCCAACGTAGGGGTTCTTTCATTAATTCAACATAAGTTAATTAATCGTTACTGTGCTGTGCACCTTGCCCATTTTCTTCTTTCAGTTAAATCCCTTAAAGTTAGCAGCTGGGGATCATCTCTAATTTGAATCATCCTGATACCTTTTTCTTGTGCCTGAAACAGCGACTTCCTCCCCCTCCCCGCCCCCCGCGCGCGCTGCCCCCGCCGCCTTCTTCAAGGATAGATTCTAGTTTGCCCACTCATTTATTCACTCAACGAATATTTATTACACGCGAACTGTTACATAGGAGCAGTCTCTAAAAAGTTTAGTAAGACATATGTGGAGCTTGCAGGATTTGGGAAGACAGAAAAAAACAATTATAATCATGTATTAACTTTCCACTTCTGTAACTCTCCGTCCAGGGGTTGGAGTTTATGTCATGAAGTTTGAGAGTGCCCTCTGAGTCTTTGGGCTCTGTCTCTCTCTTAAAGTTTTATTTATTTAAGTAATCTCTACACCCAACATGGGGCTCAACTCACAACCCGAAGGTAAAGAGGGGTTTGCTCTCCCAACTGAGCCAGCCAGCACCCCTGGGCTCTTTTTAATAGAAAACGTTTAGAAACCATCTCCTAAAACATTTAGTTAAGATGTGTTTTAGCTTGGAATCGCCAGGTTCTGTAACAGTGCCTGACAATAGAGATTTGTTTGTTAAATAAGCCAGTGCTTTAATTGATTGGGCGTTTGTATTCTTTTACTTCTGATCTCTAGATGCTAGGAGGAAGAATCTCTCCATAGCGGAAATCAGTTTATTCCTGTGTTCCGGTTTATTACCGTGTTAAGTACCTGTGGACACAGTCCTGAAAAGAAAGGAATGAGGCAGAGAAAAGGAGAACTCTTTAAGTGTTTGAGAATTTAAAAGAAGACACACACATGAAGTAATGAGGGCATCCATAAGCTACTGCATGAAATTAGTAGATTGAAGGAGGGTCAAGAAGGACTTTCTATTTGAATTGGATTTAAATTCAAGTACTTCATGGGGTAAAAATAAGGACAAATTTACAGTATTCAGGGTTTACTTATCTCAAAGTAAACAGTTCTTTTTATATATGTTGGAATCAACTGTACATTCTATAGTTATTTTTGAAAATTCCTGTTTTTTTATGTTATGGTCCATATGCTAATGATGTCAATGGTGTAACTGTATTCTGCCTTTTAAATATGCCTTAATGTGTTTAATCTTTTCCATAATCGACATTCAGATTGTTTTCCAGATGTTCACTGTAAACAGGAATTGGATGTTCATGAAAAATCATCAGTTTAGGTATAAAGATAGAAATATAAAGTATGTCAGTCTTTTTCTTTAAGTACATTAGAGCACCAAGTCTGATTTTTTTAGATATAAAATTTATTCTGTAGAAAACAGCTTTTTTTAAAGATGAAACTTTATCAGCATGGTAGACTCCTCTCATTCCATTGTATTGTTTTCAGAATTGGGCCCTTTCACTTTTTTTTAATTTTTAAATTTTTAAAGATTTGTTTTAGAGAAGACAGTGCTTGCATGTGGGCACGTGTGTGGGGGGGGAAGGGCAGAGGGAAAGGGAGAGAAATTTCAAGCAGACTCCTCTTAGTAAGGAGCCCAATCCCATGACCCTGAGATCATGACCTGGGCTGAAATCAAGAATTGATCACTTAACCAATTGAGCCACCCAGGTGCCCCCCTTTTAAAAATTTTTTAAATGTAATTTAATTTGAAGCTATAGCATCATTCTTTAGTCTCTTTCCACCATTCTTAGCCATTGTTGGTGTGTCGACATTATACTGCTTTAATAATTTTGTAAGTGAGCTGTCCAGCACGGTAGCCATTACCAACATGTGACTTAATAAATTTTGCATTTTTCCTCAGTTGCACTATTCACATTTCAGGTGTTCAGTAGCCACATGTGGCTGTTGGTTACTATATTAGCGCATATGTATAGAGCACTTCCATCATCATGAAGAGTTCTGTTGGATAGAACTATTCCATAATATAGCATCTTGGAGTCTTCATAGTCTATAAATACAAATAGTCACTTTTTAAAAGTCATTGAAAGCATTTAAGTTAGGAAAACCTATTTTGTTAATTGTGAGTACCACCTCTTGTAAATAATATACATATTTGGTTGTTGAAACTTATGACCATTCCTTTAAACGTTTCATCAGGATTTAAGATGAAGGAATAAACGCAGCCATCATTTATTGCTCCATGCTCTCTTTTCATCCCTCACTCCTATATTGTTGGCTTAAAGGGGGCTTGGGGGAATGAGGGGGTACGTCCCAGAGCAATTTACATTCCCTTAAATTGGGTTGTGGGATTAATGCTACTACCATGTGGCCTAAAGAATTGTTTTTTACTCCTTCTGCCCTTCCGACCTCACTGTTGTGGGTAAACATTGTGGATAATAGAATATAATAATCTACGCTTTTTCCTTAGCTTTGTATGGGAGGATTCTTGTAACAGCAGCTCACCAACAGACAAGCCCAAACTGCTTGCTCTTAGTGAAAATTATGAACTGTTTATCTATGAATTTAATTTGAAAGATGGAAGATGTGATGCAACCATTTTGTATAGCTGTAGCGAGGAGACATTGCAAAAGCTCATTGAAGATCAAAATATCAGTAAGTATTTACAGGTGGTCTTTCAGCA